TACATGGGACTTCAGTGGCGTATTACCATCAGCTATCTTGTAGATTCAGGTAAGACGTGATAGGAAGATGACATAATAGGAGACATGATAGAAGAAATGGAGCTTTTGCTCTAGCTCTGGAGGTGCTTTCACTGCCCTGGAGGAGCCTATGGTTTCCCTGGTGATTTTGCTGTTGCTGCTGAAAAAACAGCTGTTGTAACATGTTGCACTTATTTACTGCCTGAGATATCTCTTGTTCAGTTGCTGAGTATCTTTAAAAGAAATCAAACTCGGATGTTATTTCCTCACTGTTCATCGGAGAGAAGTGCTGAGGGAGCTCTAGTGCTCTCTTAACTACTCAGCCTCAGGTTTGTGCTTCAATTGAGCTGCTCTGTGTAAACTAAACCGCCAGAAAAGCTTCGCATTTCTCTTGTAGGTGAAATTTTCTGCCTCGGATTCTTGGAGGAATCCCCGTTTCATTGGGAACTTTTCCTTAGGTTGGCTTAGCTGCAACACAAAGCCTTGCTTTCTGAAGGATGTACGGGTAGGTGGCAGTGCTGGTGGCAGGCTTGTCCTTACCTTCCTTCTTAACGGGTAGAGCCCTTTCATGTGCTAAGCAGATGTTTAGTGTAAGCTGTCGACAGGCTTGAGCAAGTTATAAAATAAGTTCTCTGGAAGGTGAAGCCATCAGTGCATTGTTTGGGAGCCCTTTCCACTGCAAGTAGGTAAATGGTGACATGACACAGTAACTCTTTTTCTTTCTTTGTTTAAGCAATTTCTAAATCATTGTTCAGGGAACTTTTGGAAGCAGATGTTACCACACAGGGAAATAAATACATGAGTCATTCAGGAAGTCAGTAACCTTGCCCACTACAGTGTTCTATAACCAGTTTTGTTTGTGCTATGTAGTGAAGGACTGTTCACCAGTTGGTAATCCGACATTCAAATCAAGATTTCATCCTTACAGGAAAAAAACCCAACAATTTAGGGACTTCTCTGTATTTAAACATTGCAAGGTACCCTGTATTAGCCGTAGCTGGCAGGGTGTGGGCAGCAAGAAGTTGCAGGGGTAACCTGTGTGGATAGGGGCCCTGTGCAAGTTCCAGCCAACTCCAAACCAGACAAAACCAGTCCATTGCATATCAAAACTGCAACTGGTCAGAGCAGCACACAGTGCTTCTGTTCAAATGTATTGAAGAAAGCTGTTAGGGACAGGAGTCACAGAAAGGAGACGTGGGAGGAGGCACATGAGGAGTCACAGAAAGGAGACATGGGAGGAGGCACATGAGGAGACACAGAAGGGCCCACGTAAGGACTAATAAGGGAGGACAAATGTGAGGATGAAAGAACGCAGACATGAGAAGTCATGAAAAAGTGACATGGGGGAGGAGGTGCAAAAGGACGTGTGAGGACAACAAAGGAAACACAAAAGCAAAGGAGACAGGAGGAGATGTGAGAGGAGATACAAGGGAACATGCAAAAGGAGATAGGAATCATGTCTGGAGCCATGATCCTGGGACAGGGACACCCTGAGGGACTGTGACCCATGGAGAACATGTGCCAAGGCAGGCACACATGGAGGAGCTGCAGGTTGTGGGTGAACTATGCTGGAGCAGAGGAGCAGTAAGAAGCAAGGAGCAGTGGGGGAAATGCGAGATGCAAGAAGCAGCCAAAAGAAATTGTCATGCAGTGCCCCATAGCCTCCTGTGCCTGTTACCTCACTGAAGGAACTGGGACAGACTGAGTGTAACCCACAGTGAAAACAAAGGGAAGTTGAAACAGGATAGAGGTGAGGAGAGGTGTTGTGCTGAAGATGAACCTGTGGAGAGAGGAGGAAAGGTGTTTCCCAAAGTGTTGTTTAGGTTGATGTGTTCCCATCCACTACCCCCCCTCCCCCCCCCCCAGTATCTGAATTTGTAATTAAAAGTTTATGATAATTTGTAATAAATTAAATTAAGTTAAATTCTCCGAGTCAAGAATGTTTTGCCTATTGCAGTCTATTCAATATGCTGGGGTGTAATGTTTAGCAGTGGCATGGCCAAACCCCATGTTGATGTAATCTGTGCAAAGTTTCCCCAATCTCTGTGTGAGACTGGTGTTGCCTCTGTATTGCTGTGTCAGTGCTTTGGCATTTTCCCAAACAGAGCTTTCTAGAGGAGGGCCAGCACCAGCCATTTGCAGGAATTCACAGGTGGTGATCTTTGAACAAGTTGGCAAAAGCCATACAATAGATGCAGTTTTATTTCCAAAGCATTATCTTCTGGCTGTGAAAGACTCATTGTGGGGCAGAGCTGGAGCAGACATCTGCCGTTGATGGAGGGGAGATGACAGGGTCTTGCTGCTTCTTGTAACTATAAGGAAAGAACATGCGTGTCACCCTCCTAGAGTCTCAAGGAAAGTAGAGGGTACGGAAAAGAATGGCAGCTCACTGATGTGGCTGTTCCCAGGCACACAGGTGCCTGGTGCTACCAGCTGGATGATGTGTCATTGTCTACCCTCCAACGAAGTCTCTCTGAAAGACTGCAGGTATGTTGAAGACTCACAGGATGATGAAGAAAAAAACTGAGAGAGAAAAAAATATCAGTGGAGATTTTTCTTTTTTTTTTTTTTCATTTTCTTTTTTTTCCCAACTGAAGGATGATTAATTTGAAATGGAAAATTCTGTTCTGTTATTAAGCTGACCCACAGCTATCTGTAGCAGGCATAATGGAGTTCTCTCCTATATTCTGCACATTTTTGGTTTGTCTCACAAAACTTCTGGTTTCACTGTTGGATTGTATTGGTTTTATTTCTTTTAAATTATATAAACTTTTACCAAAAGGGCAACAGAGATTAAAGCAGAAAAGACACTAAAATGTTTTGCATCTTTTGGACTTTATTTTTTTTAATTATTTTATTTTCTTTAAAGAACATATTCCTTGTGAATCTTTACTGGTTTTGATTCATTAAGAGCCTGGCACCACTTTGACGATGGAGGCTTTGAGGGAGGCATCGGCACATTGATGACAGTGGCCTTCCATTAGGCTGTGCCTTGACACACCTTATTTCAGACTGTTAAAGGCTATTTCTGGGAAATAAACTCTTTATGGTTAAATCTATGTGTGGACTTCAGAGATCTAAATTTTAGGCCTGATCAGGACAGTCACACTAGGCTTGTAAAAGCAGAAATAGCACTGTGTATCCCAACTTAGCTGCCTGACAGGAGGGTACATATATAGGTGTCATCCTACACTTGGGTCTGGCACTGTGGGTGGAATAGTTGGGAAGAGAGAAGAATGTGTCTTTTGAAGATGATTGCTGTACTGAAGGCTCACCAGTCATAGTGTTCAGTTCTCTTTCACAAAGTGTGAAAGGGTTTTAAAGGGTGAAAGAAGAGAAAAAGACGTTTGGTGTTTGGTTTTGGTTTTGTTTTCCAGTGAAGAAAAGTGTTAAGTTCCCTAACCTAAAGTCTTGAATATAAAATTAATAGCAGGGTCAGGAATGGAGGTAGTGTGTAAAGGAACATAATGAACACTACCATGTTGTGGAGCTTTGTAGCAAATATGGGACACAGGGTGGTTATTGGGGAATAAATGGAAGGGAAACAAGTACCATTCTGTGATTATGGGCGATGAGACCTCTTGACAGGAACAGATGATAGCCCTGGGGTTTTATGTGACTTCTCAGTTTTGGGAAGGCTGGCTTCTCCTCTTGGGAAATGAAAAAACTCAGAAGCAGCTGTCCCACTCACTGTCTGGTGCCAGGTTCAGTAGTATGGCAGCAAACTGGAGGACAGAAGAGAATCTAAAATTACATTATCTGAGATTCTCTGTGTACAGGTCTGGTTTGAAAATAATGGACTGATGTGAAAATATAGACTAATGAAGATAAAATGGACCAACTGCTGCATTTCCTTACAAGTGGCAAATACAGTATGCACTCAGGGAACTAAGGGTCAGTCTTGGTTTGTGATAGACAAAGGAAGAGGTTTGACTGTGATTTATTTTTTTGAAGTAGAGTAATCTTTGCTAGAGGACAATGTATCATACCAGATCCAACAGCCCAAGAGAGGTGAGACTGCTGCTGCTCTGTGTCCAGACAGTAGCGAGGCTGAAGATGTATTCACCAGGCACACACACACACACAAAGCACATACATACACTGTATATGTATGTACCTATGCATGGCTGGCCGCACAGCTTGCAGGCAGACACTTGGAGCACCCACATGAACATAGGCAGCACTGACAGCCTCATCCTTCTCCCTTCTATGACTGGACAGGGTGGAAGTCCACAAGTGAGAATATACATAAGTGTTTCCCTCCAGCAGCTGGGTTTAGACCCCAGCTGTTCACACCCCAGTATGCACAAGTGTACACAGATTTGAAATCCCTCACCCAGGAAAGAGTCAGAAAGGAATTTAATAAGAAGACAAGACAGCCTGATCAGGCATAGGACATTACCAGATAAGTGTACTGACCAGCAAGCTATTTACCTGCATCTGGCCCTTGTAATCCGCTTACATCTCTATTTTCCCACTCTTGTTCCTTACAAAATCATTGAGTTAAGGTCTTGCTCAGCCTTTGGTTCCTAAATATAGTAATTCCTGTGTAATTCCAAACTGTTCTTCCCCTGCAGCCCATAATATGTCCCACCCCTAAGCTGTAACCCCCTTATTCCAAAGGGTGATCTAGAGAGCTGCTTCTGGTGATGGGTTTCATGCCTGGACAGCCCTGGGATGGGCTTAGACATGGTGCTGGTTCCTCTAGGGTCCTTAATGTGGGATCCTGCCTGCCATTTTGTGCTCCTCAAGGCTTAGGGCAGGTGGGACCTTGAGGGGCTGATGGGCCCTGTGATAGAGCTGGCAAGGTTTATTTGGGCTCCCCCTCCTGCCACTGTCCCTTTATGCATTTTGTGTGTGTGTAGATGAGCTTTGTCACATAACCTTTCAGCCTGAACATGCGCTGTTGTTTCTAACGGAGCCCTGTGGGCATGGTGGCAGCATGAAGAAGCCAGGATGCTTTTTTAAAGGTGACTTAGTTGAAGCACCCTTGCATGAAGGAGAGTTCAGCATGCGGCTCTGCCATAGCGCTGTCTCAAGGCTCGAGGTCTGTTGCCTTCCCTGTCAATATATTTTTCTTCTTTCCTCCCCTCCAGATCACGGCTGTCTTGGGAGAGCAGGCTCTGATGGGAGCAAGAATGCTCAGGATGCCCAGCTGCCTCCTAAAACTGACCAGGGTGGTGCTCAGCCACAAGCTCAGGGCTCTGTTTATCCTTGCCTTTAAGTTCATGTCCTTTGCCTCCATCATGTTGTACTGGAGAATGGCAGAGGACCCTAAGGGCAGAGGCCAGCTCTACAGCTTGCCTGTTGAAATCCACTGTGCTCACTCTGTGCCTTCTCCACACTCCATTGCTGGTGGGCCCCCTCCTTCCCCAGGGAATGTGTTTTTTGTGGAGACATCGGAGCGAACTGACCCAAGTTACCTGTTCATGTGCTCTGTGGAGTCAGCAGCGAGGACGCACCCTGGGACAAGGGTCGTGGTGCTCATGAAGGGCTTGGCAAACAGGAACGCCTCGTTACCCAAACACTGGGGCTTCTCGTTGCTGAGCTGCTTCCCCAATGTGGAAATCCAGCCCCTGGACTTGACAGAGCTTTTCTCTGGAACACCTCTGGCAAAGTGGTACTTGCAGGCTCAGCAGCGCTGGGAGCCTTATTTCTTACCTGTCCTGTCCGATGCCTGCAGAATTGCCATCATGTGGAAATTTGGTGGCATCTACCTGGACACAGACTTCATTGTGCTGAAGAACTTGAAGAACCTCACCAATGTGCTTGGTATCCAGTCCAAGTACGTACTGAATGGGGCCTTTCTGTCCTTTAAGCCCAAACACAAGTTCATGGAACTTTGCATGCAGGACTTTGTGGAGAACTACAACAGCTGGATCTGGGGACACCAGGGCCCACAGCTCCTAACACGTGTGTTTAAGAAGTGGTGCTCCATCAGGAGCCTTCGGAGTAGTACAAGCTGCAAAGGAGTGAGTGCTCTTCCCCGTGAGGCTTTTTATCCCATTCGGTGGCAGGACTGGAAGAAATACTTTGAAGTGGTCAGCTCCTCGGAGCTTCACCACCTCTTTAATAACACCTATGCAGTGCATGTATGGAACAAGAAGAGCCAAGGGACAAGATTAGAGATCACATCCCAGGCTTTGCTGGCTCAACTGCATTCTCACTTCTGCCCTGCCACCTACGATATCATGAAGAAGGACTCTGTACGGCAGTGACTCAATGGTCAGCTAAGAGATGTTGCCTGAGAGCTCACAACTCTCCCCAGCTGTTCCATCACAAATGAACTTTCTTTTGAAGTGAGGAGGTGAGAGTTGAGGATAAAAGCCATTTGTGGGGTGTAGGTAGAGCCTGAAGCTTCAGCCAGTGTCTATGCAGCTCTTTGTCTTGACTATAACTGCCTACCAGTAACATTTGTTTCTCTGAAGGACTTTTCTTCTCCTTTGGTCAGGCAAAGAAATCTCAGGAGAAGAGCAAGTACCGGTCCACTTGTGACAGCCTACATCAGCCTTTCAGAGGAATAAGGCCCCTTTCTGTGGCTGTAAACCTGCAAGAGGCCCTTGTAGAAATGCGTATCTCATTGACTGATTCATAGGATTTCTAAAGCGCAGTCCTCAGAGCAATGGAAGTGCAGAAGAGCAAAGAACAGGAATGAGGAGCAAGTTAAGGATGTGCTAGAGAAGGTGCCCTGAGAAAAATGTAGAAGAAAACAGACAAGAAAGAGCTAAGGCAGCTTCTTTTTCTTTTCTTTCCTTTCTCTTCTGAAGTTTTTGGTGGAGGAGACTTTCTCATGTCTGGTTTGAGCAGGCAGCAGGATGCTGCAATCTCTGTTTAATGTCCTAGGTCTAAAGATGTAAAAACCTGGCGCAACTCAGAACATGAGGATCTCAGTCCAGCTCGTTGTTTAGAAGGAGCTTTTGTGAAGCAATGACTGATTTTATAGTAGTGGCAAATTAACACCCTGTGATGAACAGGAAAGCTCACCTAAATCACGCCTTAAATTGTACCTGACACAGGAAAAGCTGAACTGTCTTTTACACTGAGTTTGTCTTTGTGACCAGATGTCTGTAACTGCATCTAAGAAGCACCAGATCTTTCAGCACTTGGATGGATCCTGAAAGAAATGCATTATGTTTCCAAATATTTCCAAGGTTACAGAGAGGACAGATAGGAAACCTGTACTGTCTGAATTCGTTTATGAGTCATTTATGGTGAACATCTTCAAGTAGCCTGCAGTACTCCTGCAATTCACTGTCTAGGAGTACAATTCTCTTCTAGAAGGTCTTGAGAAAGACAGTGGGAAGTTTTACTCTTCTCCCTGAGCATCTTCCTGAATTGTAGTGGAGAAAATTAACATATCTTTCACAAGATGCTGTTGTGCCTTTGAGGGTTCCCACCACAGAGGCAAGCTTGGACAAACTGTGGGAGAAATCTGCCCCTTTATGGCCAAAAGGATTTACCGATGCTCTTACTGTTCTTGTCAGAAAATAGTGGGGAAAGAGCAGTGAGAAACAAGAATATGACCAAGACCATCAGCATCGTTACATCTGGACCCCCCCACACTCTAAAGGGGATTGGTAAAGCACATGAGCTTGACACTATGATAGGCTTAATGCAGATGGGCAAAGCATTGGCCATTTCCTCTTGTACTGTAAAATACTTTCTGCCTCCAGTGTGTCTCCTATTCTTAAGCTTTGGAACAGCAGTGGGGTGGTCCAATGGCCCCTTTGATGAACATAAGTCAGTCAGATCGTCAATGTCAGCTGGCCTCAAAGTGAGAGCTCTTTCACATGGTATTTCCTGCAAACCCTCTGAGTGTGACTCAGATGATTTCTAGGGCTGCAGTTGTCTGAGGCCTCTTCTGTTTCCCAGGTTAACCAAAAGCAATGTGAGGTTTGCTCAGTTCAGCCAAAGCAGTGGTCAGAAACGTAAAAGATTGTGCATGCAACATTTCTCTGTTTTTTTCTCAGGTTTGTCTCTTCTTTGATGAGACTTTTTTATAGAAATGAGAGAGACAAATTGCCCATAATTTTTACGAAACAACTCCCTGCCCCTCAAGGAACATGGCCATGGGAGCTTAAGGAGGATGTGCACTACTTGTCAAATGCTGAGCTGTCTGGTGTCGATCGGAGGCTACTGCTGCTTTGATTGAATGCCTGCCTGTGAGCCTGGCAGGGCATGAGGCCTGTGCACATGTAGCCACTCTGGAGTGAGGGAGGTGCTGTAAACACCCCTCCAGTGGCTGGCATCACGCGTGTGTGTGTATATATATGTAGAGCTGCCCTTTCGTTCTGCCCAGTTTTATGGTATATCCTGGAGCCACTTGAATGTCTGCAGCTCTCCCAGCACTGAGTATCTTTAAGAACAAGGACTTCGTGGGGAACCAGGAGATCTTATTGACTGTATAAGCATTCTTCAACACACTAAGTGGTATAAGTGGATGCTGTTTTCACTCTCTACTCCCCCTGTCACTACTCTGTGGGTTTTTTTTTCACTGCTTTCTTTAGAAGCAGTTGCAAAGTTTACAGCCCTGTTTAGTGTGTGGTCAGTAAGGTGTGGTTTCTCATGTAGTTCCTTCTGTTTTGGGCTCTTTGGGCTAAACAACAGCAATCTTAGTAAGCTATGAACCCGTACCACAGATGGTATAATGGTGGCTGGCAATCATGAAGGTGTAACATGGGACTATACTGTGGCAATACCTTGAACTGAATATGGGAGTATTTGGGGCTCCACTGCAACGAATATCTGTCTTGATGTAGCACTGCTTATTCTAGGAAAGTGCCTTTTTGGATAAATGTACTGGTTTGTTTTTGTTTGTTTGTTTTCCCCTGTAGAGTCAATGTTCTGAGGTTTGATAAGGAGAGAATCAAACCAAAGCAGCCTTTGGCCTTTTTTCCTTTGTCTTGTGAAAGAAAAATAAATACAGCTTTTACTATTTCTTCTGTCTACCAAGATGTTCCATTTTGTTCTGTGAGGCGTTGGTGGTTAAGTCTGAGCAATCTGTTAGTTATTATGCAGAAAAGCATTTTAAAGTGTGCAGTACATCAAGGAGAGAAGCCAGGGGTGCGGGCTGAAGATGCAGAATTGGACATTGCAACAGAAGAGGAGTAAGGAAGGATCAGTAATCCTGGACCTGGTCTCCTGGGAAAGGACTGAAAGATTATTATTTCCCCTGTGCTGGCTGGGAGCTATCCTATGTCAGGAGCTCTTGTATTGTGGGGATCTAGGATGTGCAATAAGTTGTAATGCTCTGTAGGACTCTTCCCCTACCACCACATTATCCTCCTCCCTCTTCCTTCTCCCTTCTCCAAAAGTGTGTAGTCCAGGGAGCCTCTGGTACAAAGTAGTTTAAGAGCCCTTCTTGTGGGAGAGTGCAGCTACCTGCCTTAATCTTATATATTGGGAGCTGTGGTCTGCATAGGGCTGCTTTGTCCTTAGCAGGAATGAGGAGTTAAAACAAAGGTCTCCACACGATCCGTGTGGATATGCCATTTATGAACACCAGCACCCTGGTCTTCCAGGTTCATCTCTCTCAAGTATCTGAGATCATTCCCTCTATGCAGGTGGCTTGTGGTCTCTGTTATCTTCTTGCAGCCATGCCTGGAACTCAGGTGAACAGGCATAGTCCAGAAGAGAAAACTACAGGAGGAAGTCACTTCATCTGCACCATGCCATTACAGCTCAGTCTGAGATCTTGGCCTTTAAATTTGTGTATACTGATGGAGCCAACTAGCAGCTTGCCATGGCCCTGCAGTATGTTGGTAGAGGCATGACAAGTAAGAAATTTCTTTTCACGAGCTGGAATCCATATATGGGAGAAAAGTCTGGCAAGTTACATGCGAAAACGCTATAAGGCTATAGAAAACACTGTTTGGAAAACAATTTTCAAAAGATATTAAAGCTACCAATGTTGTTGTTTGTTTTTTTCCATCTGTCGTTATTTTTTTCCAAAGAGCAAGAAGCCTCCTAGAGAGGCAGAAGATCAATAGGAGGTGAGAGATTGAAAGGGAGTTTAGAGACTGGTTTGAAGCAAATCAAAATTCATTTCTACAGGTAAGAGAAATGTAGAGATGATTCTCTACATTGTAATTTCTCCTTGTGGGGGGTGCATGCCAGTCTCTTGCTCATGGCATGTCAGGACTGAATGAACAGATTGATGATTAGATAGATTTAGCTTAGACGTTAGGAAGAAATTCTTTACTGTGAGGGTGGTGAGACACTGGCACAAGTTGCCCAGAGAAGCTGTGGCTGCCCCATCCCTGGCAGTGTTCAAGGCCAGGTTGGACAAGGCTTGAAGCAACCTGGTCTAGTGGAAGGTGTCCCTGTCGATGGCAGGGGGTTGGAACCAGATGGTCTTTCAGATCCCTTCCAACCCAAACCATTCTGTGATTCTACAATAGGAGCTGATGGGATGCATCCATGAGTGCTGCGGGAGCTGGTTACTGTCATTGTCTCACAATGACATATGTGATGTGATGCTTGTAAGGTCTTACTTATTGGAGGAAGTGGAAGGAAGCAACCGTCACTCCTATCTTGCTTGTCTTCAAGATGTGCAAGGAAGAGAATCCAGAGAACTACATGCCAGTCAGTGTCACCTTGAGCCCTGGGAAGGTTATCCTCCTGGAAGTCATCAACAAATATATTGAGAACAAGAAGGTGATTAGGAGTAGCCAGCATGGATTTATAAAAGGGAAATTATGCCTGGCAAAACTGATAGGTTTCTATGATGAAATGTCCAGCCCAGTGGATAGGGGAATTGTTTACTGTGACTTTTGTAAAATTTTGACAGTGTCTCTACAACAGCCTCATAGACATACTGATTCAGTGTGGACTACATAAACACAGTGAGGTGGATCAAAAACTGTCTGAACTTCTGGAGTTGAAGGATTTTGATGAATGACACAAAGTCCAGGTTGGGGGCAGTAACTAGTGATATACTCCAAGGACCTGTGCTGGGGCCAGTACTATTTAATGTCATTATTAATGACCTTTATGACGATGGGATGGAGCACAACCTTGACAAGTTTGCAGATGATGCAAAACTGGAGGAGTGGCTGATACACAGAGTGGTCGAGCTGCCCCTCAGCAAGCTGGAGAAATGAGCCAAGAGGAATCTCACTGAGTTCAACAAGGAGAATCTTAGCTGGTGGGGAATAACTCCATGCACCTGTGGACAAGAAGTTAACCAGGAGCCAGCAGTGTGCCCTTGTGGCAAAGACAGCCAACACCCTGCTTAGGCTGCGATACGTAGAGCATCACTTGCAAGGTCAAGGGGAGCAGTCGTTCCCACTACTCAGCACTGGCGAGACACATCTGCAGTGCTGTGTCTGGTTCTGGGCTCCCCAGTTGGCTCAGGGGTTGGTGTAACACTGCGCTATCTCCTCCTAGTGTTTTTTCACAATTGATGAACTACTGGCAAGATCACTTACCTGAAATTGAGTATGCCTGGTTTGTTTTGGTTTTTTTTTTTTTGGAAGCTGTTACATCTCTTTAGCTTGGAGAAGAGGAGACTGAGGGGTGACCTCATCAATGTTTACAAATACGTAAAGGGTGAGTGTCAGGATGATGGAGCTAGGTTTTTTTCAGTGACAGTGATGTCCAGTGATAAGTCAAGGGGCAATGGGTGTAAACTGGAGCATAGGAGGTTCCATGTGAACATCAGGAAAAATTTCTTTACTGTGAGAGTGACAGATCACTGGAACAGGTTGCCCAGGGGGGTTGTGGAGTCTCCTACATTGGAGATATTCAAGGCCCGCCTGGACAAGTTCCTGTGTGATGTACTCTAGGTTACCCTGCTCTTGCAGGAGGGTTGGACTAGATGATCTTTTGAGGTCCCTTCCAACCCTTGGGATTCTGTGATTCTGTGATCTCTATCTTAATTCATTTAGCAGATTTCCTGCTCTAAGTGTAATGGCATTATTGAGCATTTTTCACTCATCTTAGACCGCTGTCTATTGTATTTAGGAAGACTGAAGCAGAACTGAAAAACTCAATGATGCTGCCATGACTGACTGCGATTTTTCTGTTTGCGGCCTTTACTTAATGTTGCAAGCAATACACAGAGGCCATACATTTTTTTCTGGATAACTTCACTGAGATCAAGCTATGGTCACTTTCTGTACAGTGATTTGGGAATCAGCAGCTATAAAAAGCCTGCAGTGTCATCTCTTCCTACAATGTGTTTTTTTTTTTTTTTTTGCAGAAACATGCTATTACCATCCTCCAACTCTTTGCTGTGGCTTGCTTTTAATTCTTCTCACCTCATGGAGTGTCTGTCCAGCACTGCATTACAGCTCTATGAGTGGATCTTTTCAATGTTCTTTCTTTTATATCAGGAGAAAAGTCAGTTCTAAAAACCATGTAAGTGAAATTGGATATTGCAGGGTTCGCTCTGGAAAGGTGAATCTGTGATTAAGCACAAAAGATGTAGTTAAGAGACAGGTACCTTAAGAGCCCTCTGTCTATAGCTGCAGTATTTTATGGCTCAATCTAATATACCCATTACGATTAGGATACTCTCAACTCACCTCATGCACACGCGCTTTGTCTGCCATTCTTTCTAGGGTCAGAAGGAGGAGCTGTTGCTTAAATGCTGAGTACTAGGGGAGTTGGTAGAGCAGAGTGATGCCAAAGAGCATGGTGACAGGGGTGAATCCATCAACTAGCTGCCCTAAACACTATATATAAATAATATACTATAAACGAAATACTATGGAAATTTGCTGGTGGATTCATCCCTATTTGTCATCGTGCTGCTCCTCCATGTCTAAAAGACTGAGGAGTCACCCACTGAATGTGGGTATTGTCAAATCCTACTTCTTCTACTCTTTGGTAATGTACATCTGAGGAAAATGTAGATCTTCAGCTGACAGGTCTCTAAAATACTCCTACCAGGCTGCTTGTAATCGGTGATATTGCTCAGGACCCTTAGCAGCTATCTTGGTATGCAGCAGCACTTTGCTGGTCCTTTTTCTTTCTCTGTTTTTTGTTCTGAATTCATAGCAAATTTCCATACCCCCTCCCAGTGCTTTTCTGTTCATATGTCCATATGCTTACTTGAAGGGACATCACTAACCTCAAGGGTACCTGGTTCATTTTCCCAAAGACAAGTGGGACTGGTGCAATCACTTCTTCCAAGGCTGATGAGAGCTATGATGCTGTCTTTCTACTTGATGTACCTTAAATGTAGCTTTAGAATAGTATAATGACATAAGGTAGTTGAAGTTGCATTAAAATTATGTGACAAAGACAAGCAATGGTAAGACAAAGAATGAAGGGAAGGTATAGCACTCTGCAGGAGTGATGGTTAAATTGGCCGTAAGAGGGCACACCTATTGCTTTAAAATGTTGGCTGTGGAAGGGACAGTTCAAAGCATCTTGCTCAGCTTAAGATACAAAACCATCTCTAACCAGTCTTTCTTGTAAATCCACATTTAAGCATGTTCTGGAGGACATGAAAGAATTACATTCTCAATCCATTTTAGTTAATAATAAAGGTAGATGTAGGTTATGTTTCTCTTACAGGTTCCCTTCTTCAAGGGAAGGCTCTGGCACTCATCCCTGTGGGTTTTGTCACTGCTGGGTGAGATGGGGCAAATGTGGGGACCAAGAAAACCAACACAAAGAACACACAAGGAGGGAGGGCAGTGGGAAGGTTTGGAGGACAGAGGATCCACGTCATCTCCTCTGACCAGAGAGCCACTAGGATTGGGTGGTCTTCCAACAACCCTAGGGATGTGCACTGCATGCAGGTAGGCTCGCAGGACAGGCACTGGTTATTTTTCTTTTAAGACCGGTTCAAAGAGCTCACAAGACTGGAAGAAGTTTCTCTCTCTACTTGGGATTATGTCAGCTGAATACTGTCACCAGGTGTAGTTCCTCTTCCTACACTGTGGGAACACTCAGTCACAATTCCAGCTTTTGCAAGGGTCCTCTTATTTGGGAGTATTGTGAATTGATCAAACATTCAAATCCTAAATTGGCTCTTCCTGCTGTTTTCTACAGCCTCAGCAGCTGCCTGCTCAGTAGTTCAGCTTCTCTCCCCACAGCCTAGAAGTGCTTCCCTGCACTCCATAGGCAGGCCAGCTTAGAAGAGAGCATCCTGGTCGTCAAGACAGAGAGTGTATTTAAGGGCAAGGATGAGCTGTGGGAGCCAAAGTTACAGACACTCAGGTGATCACCCTTCCTGGTCCCTGTGGGCAGGTGACCAGTGAGTGTCTGGGTATTTGGGATCATTTGGCTTCTGTCTGGCAGTTTTATTCTTGCACGTTAGGCAAAACAGAATCTTGTCTGTGCCTCTGTTTCTGTTGCTCTGTGTTCTCCTTCTTCTCCCCTTTTGCTCAGCAGGTACGTGTTCATAGCTAGATGATCCCTTTTGCACCTTTTTTCCTATAATTTTCTGCTTATTTGCAGGTATATCTAGCTTCATAGGTTAAATCTGCTCATTACCTAGGCATAAGCTGTATCCATTAAATCACAGAAGGAAAACAAAAAAAAAAGTCCTTGTTCACATCCTTAGTTTATATTCTACTCTGCAAACAACGCTTGCAATTCTGTAATATACATAGCCACTTGTTCCCGATCACCTCTAGCTTAGACAGTTATTTATAATGATTATACAAAAGTTTAGGCCTGGAGGTTTGAGAATCACCAGTAACGAGTAGTGTCCCTCAGGGATCGGTGTTGGGACCGGTCTTGTTCAACATCTTTGTCGCTGACATGGACAGTGGGATTGAGTGCGCCCTCAGCAAGTTTGCCGATGACACCAAGCTGTGTGGTTCGGTTGATACGCTGGAGGGAAGGAATGCCATCCAGAGGGACCCTGACACACTTGTGAGGTGGGCTGATGCCAACCTCATGAAGTTTAACCATGCCAAGTGCAAGGTCCTACACCTGGGTCGGAGCAATCCCAGGCACAGCTACAGGTTGGGCAGAGAAGAGATTCAGAGCAGCCCTGCAGAGAAGGACTTGGGGGTGTTGGTTGATGAGAAAATGAACATGAGCTGGCTTCAGTGTGCACTCGCAGCCCAGAAAGCCAACCATATCCTGGGCTGCATCAAAAGGAGGGTGACCAGCAGGTCAAAGGAGGTGATCCTGCCCCTCTACTCTTCTCTTGTGAGACCTCACTTGGAGTATTGTGTGCAGTTCTGGTGTCCTCAACATAAAAAGAACATGGAACTGTTGGAACAAGTCCAGAAGAGGGCCATAAGGATGATCAGAGGACTGGAGCACCTCCTGTATGAAGATAGGCTGAGAAAGTTGGGCTGTTCAGCCTGGAGAAGAGAAGGCTGCGTGGAGACCTCATAGCAGCCCTCCAGTATCTGAAGGGGGCCTATAGGGATGCTGGGGATGAGCTGTTCATTAGGGACTGTAGTGACAGGACAAGGGATAACGGGTTAAAACTTAAACAGAGGAAGTTTAGATTGGATATAAGGAAGAAGTTCTTTACTGTAAGGGTGGTGAGGCACTGGAATGGGTTGCCCAGTGAGGTTGTGAATGCTCCATCCCTGGCGGTGTTCAAGACCAGGTTGGACGAAGCCTTGGGTGATATGGTTTAGTGTGAGGTGTCCCTGCCCATGGCAGGGGGGCTGGAACTTGATGATCTTAAGGTCCTTTTCCACCCTAACTATTTGTCTTGGTTTAAACAAAGTCAGCCACAAATCATGCAGTCGCTCTCTCACTCCCCCCCTTTTTGCCCTCCCCCTACTCCCAGAGGGATGGGAAGGAGAATCAAAAGATGCAACTCCCACGGGTTGAGATAAGAACAGTTTAGTACCTAAGGTATAACACAGATCACTACTGCTACCACCAATAATAATAATGATAAAGGAAATAGCAAGGGAAGAGAATACAACAGCTCAGCACCAGCCAACTGATAACTCGCCCCCCCAGCCCAACCAAGCACCGACCGATACCTAGTCCAACCCTGCAGTCCACTAGCTCTTCCAGGTAACTCTCAGTTACATCCTGGGCATGATGTGCTGTGGTATGGAATACCTCTTTGGTCAGTTTGGGTCAGGTGTCCTGTCTCTGCTTCCTCCCAGCTTCCCCTCCTCCCTGGCAGGGGGTTTTGGTTTGGTTGTTTGGGGTTTTCTTGTTGGGGTTTGTTTTCCTGTTTCCAGCACTGCATTGGTTAGCTAGGATTTTAAATTTAGCGAACAAGGTTGTGAAAATCATATACAGTAGTTTGCAAATCATGTACTGTCAGAAAACATGCATTAGCAGTTTTCTTGCCTGTCCTGAGTTCAGCAGTAGCAGTCATTTTTCCCCTTCTTGGTAGCTGATGCAGTGCTATGTTTTGACTTTCAGCCTGGGAACAGAGCTGATAACAAGGATGTTTTGGTTTGGCCAAGGACTTTGTGAGCCTCATGCTCTGCCAGGGAGGAGGGGAAGCCGGGAGGAAGCAGAGACAGGACACCTGACCCAAACTGACCAAAGAGGTATTCCATACCACAGCACATCATGCCCAGGATGTAACTGGGAGCTAGCCGGAAGGGCTGGGAAACGGCAGGGTTGGAGGAGGTATGGGTCGGTGCTTGGTCGGGCTGAGGGGGGGCAAGTTATCGGTCGGCTGGTGCTGAGGTGTTGTATTCTCTTCCCTTGTTATTTCCTTTATCATTGTTATTACTGGTGGTAGCCGTAGTGATTTGTGTTATACCTTAGTTACTAAACTGTTCTTATCTCAGCCCGTGGGAGTTGCATTCTTTTCGATTCTCCTCTCCGTCCCTCCGGGAGTAGGGGAAGGGAAAGAAGGGAGGGGGGGGTGAGTGAACGAGTTACCTGACTGGGTTTAAACCACGACATTGCCCTGTAGAAGAAATTCTTGTGGCATGTGAGTGTATAAAAAGCCTTGTCAAACTCTGAGAGAGCCTCAGTATTTGCCTGTTTCTGCACTGTTATGAGAAGGAAGAGCATTACATTCCTTTCACTGGAGTATTGAACACACTGTGGAAAAACAGAGGCAGGCATGCCCACGTCAGCAGAAGGACTAGTGACCAGGCCCAGGACTAGGGCTAGTGTCCTCAGTGACTATAATAAGATGTCACTGGTGATCTAGTAAATGGATTATGCAGGGTCATTCACGCAAGCTACACAAGCAGGTAAGTGACTTCAGGCATTGCTGCCTGTAATGGGAACACAAGTGCCTGTACCATGGACTTTTAAAGTTAGGTGAGATAAAGCTGGCTGTGGCTTCTACAAAGCCTGGGCAAAGCTGATGCAGTGATAGACCTGAGAAGTACATTGGCTGACCAGCTGGAAAGCATCTTTGCAGAAAAGGACCTGGTGGTCCTGTGGGCAACAAGCTGACCAGGAGCCAGCAGTGTGCCCTTGTGGCAGAGGCAGCCAACAGCCTGCTGGCCTGCATTCTGTAGAGCAATACCAGCAAGGCCAAAGGAAGCAATCCTTCCCAACTGCTTGGCACTGGTGAGACACATCGGGAGTGCTGTGTCAGGTTCTGGGTTTCCCAGTAAAAGCGAGACACGGATACACTGGAGATTATCCAGTGAAGGGCCACTAGGATGAGAAAGGGAATGGAGTATGTGCTGTGTGACGAGTGAGAGAACTCTTGATCATTTTTCTTTAAAAAGAGCAGATTTGGGAGGGGTCTTGTCAAAGTGTATAAATACCTGATTGAAGGTGGCTGGGGCAAAGAACACAGGCCAGGCTCTGTGGAATCCAGTGATAGGATAAGACATAATGGATACAGACCAAAACACAAGAAATTAGAATGAAAGGAATGGTGGTGAACCACTGGAAGAGGTTGCATAGAGAGGTTGCAGAGTCTCTGTCCTTGGACAATGTTGAAAGCCAAGAGGACATGGTCCTGAGCAACCTGCTGTAGGTGATGCTGCTTTGAGCAGGGGAGTCAGACAAATGGTCTCCAGAGGTGCCTTACAACCCCAGCTGTTCTGTGACTTTGTGACTAGATAAGACCTGACCTGGGGCCTGGAGAGATCCATCGATGAAAGGGCTGGGAATAACATAAGATGCCTTCCACAGACCTTCCCTAGTATTGGCATCTTATGAGTCTATCCAGGGTGCTGCAGTGCTTGGAAGGATGTAGGGAGGGGAGAGTGGTCGGGACTACATAGACCTGACATTTGTTGCAGCCAACTTGGTAGAAACTGCAGTAAACGCTACACTTAGTGGCTGTATGGATAAAGGTGACATTTTGTAAATGCGTGAACATGTCTTCTGTAAGGGACAGTCAGCTGCCATTGAGTACAGGGACAAGGGGAACCTGTCAAGAAACGAGGGACACCTGAATTTGGCAAAGTCATTCAATGAAGTATCTGATGTAAGAGGGAGTATTCTCTAATGAATGACTAAATTAATTGGTCTAAAGAGTGTGTGTTCAAAGGAGCATTCAGAACTGAAGTCTTGGGGTGGGAGGAGACAGTGATGTGAAACTCAGCTCAGTTATCATGGCAGCTACCCAAACAGCATGAGCACTGGGAATTCTAAGCAAAGGAGAAAACAAAACTAACCGTTTTCCTGTCGTAGTAGAAAGCTTAATGTGTAGCGATAATGGGTTTCGATTCCCTCTTCCTTTTTGAGTGTTGGTGCTTTTTTTCCTCATCAATTTCAAACTAGACGGGTTATTCACAGCACAGCTGCCTGATCTCTGTATCAGCCACTGTAATAGCTGAAGGTATGATGTCACATCCTCCCCAGTCTGTTTGCTATCTCCATGTGTTCAGACTACATCTCTATTTCTTTTCAGAAAAAGGAAGTGCAAGAACATGGAGTTGTAGGTGCTCTCAGAGACACTAACCTCTTGAAAACCTCCAGCTGAGCAGTCACTTCTGTGGTGTCTTGAAAGCAGGAACAGGTGAGTAGTATTTGCAGTTTCTGTGCAATGGGACTTGTAATTTCAGAGGAAGGTAGAGAGCCACATTTCCTGCGTTTGTTTTGTGAAATAGATGGACTGGCTAATGCAGCGTCTAAAATGTCCTCTTATCCACTGCAAAAGCGGGTAAGAGGATTTCTGAGTGTATTGTAGTAGACGTTCTTGCTCTTACTAAAAATATGCATGTAACCTTGCAGCTTGATCACCGTTAGCGCCACTCTTTCCTGCTTCCTCTACAGCAAAGACTCTGTCCCCTCCAGCCTGTACCTCCTTTCTCTTCTAAAGCTTATCAAGCTAAAAATTATTTACATGATTTACCACAGTTGTGGTGTGGAGGGAGAAATGGGTATGTAAAAAAACAGTATTTTGTTTTCTTTGTTTTATGTTTTTTTTTTTCCTGCCTGTAACACTCACAGCACATGCTGGTGTTTTTCTTCAGGAGAAAAAAGTGTTCCGCAAATCCAGACCTGATGATTTGTGTACTGGCTGCCTCTTCTCTGTCCCCCAAGCCCCACTGCCTTGTGAAGGGAGAGTGGTGGCTGTGTGCTGTTGCACTGGAAACCTCCCAGTGTGGCTGACAAGCCATTTTCTGGCTACATGGATTGTTCAGTGTGTCACCCAGCCACAGTACTTAGGGATGAATGACAAATGGATTGTGCCAGCTTGGTTCTCTTTCCTGTCTGTTTGGTTACAGCTGGTTGATTAAAGCTTTTGCTGTATCCTGAAGCTCTCTGTTCTGGATTATGGGGATCTGGAGATGGAGCAGAGGGAGGCAGGAGAAATCATAGAATTATTTAGGTTGGAAAGGACATTTAAGATCATCAGGTCCAACTGTAAACCTAGCATTGCCAAGTACATCACAAAACCACATCCCTAAATGCCACCTCTACGTGTCTTCCGGCATAGCGACTTAACTACTTTCCTGGGCAGCTTGTTCCAATGCTTGACAATCCTTTAAGTGAATAAATATTTCCTGATAACCAGTCTAAAACTCCTCTGGTACAACTTGAAGCTGTTTCGTCTCATCCTAAATGCCTTGCTGCTTCTTCATGTGCTTTTGTGCACTGATCTTTGGGGCCGCAGTGGTGCACTCAGGAGGTGCTGGTTCTGTTTTCCTTCACTTTAAGGGAAGGCAAGGGCCGAAATACTGATGCTAATGCTGAGAATGTAGCTAGAATGACTTCTTTTTTTTGTTGTTGCTGTCAAAGAGAGAAAGTAAGGATAGGGTGGAGGTGGGATTGCATATCCATCACCTGGCAATTCCACAGGTCACAGTCAGCATGGCCTTTTCATCCTGGGTTGGTGACCATTTGGTTAGACAGCACCACCTACCAGAGGAGGTAGAAATGAGGACTTGGCAGGGGAGTAGGGTTGGGAAGCAGCCTAGAAACTCTCTCTACCTAGTCAGTTCTTATCCTTACTGTCTGCATCTGCCTTCAAAGCTGCTGCTGCTTTCTATCAATTCCCCTCCCATTATTCATCCATTTTGCTACCCTACAGTGCCATGAAAAATGGGCCAGGCTCTATGTAGGGGCAGGCGGTTGTTTTTGAAAGGCAGCAACTGCTGGATCAACAGCCTGGGAAGCTGAGGGCTCTTGATATGAACTGACAGAACTGGGGGTTTGGTATTTTTGTTTGGCTCTGGAACAGGCAGCTTGTGTATCAGGAGAAAAATACCATAATGAGAAGTTTTCATCGGAGCAGCAGATCCACACAATAGCTGTTGACAGAGCTCCAGGAATATTCATCAGGTTCATTCCTATTTCCTTGTCCTAGGGTTTTTTGCATATTTGTCTCATGTACAGAATAACCTGAAATTCTAGATGATAGATAAAGCCTCTAATGGTGTTCCCAGTTTGTTGTGCACCAACGTGAAGGCATGCCATTTGTGCATCAAATGCCATATGTCCTTCCAAGCAGCAAGCACAACTTACATGGGTAACATACATGGACAGAACTGAGGATCAGTCTGGGTTTGTGATACACAGGAAAGAGAGACTTGTATTTTATGTTTGAAACATGGGGATGCAAAGATGGGCAGTAGTTTCTGATGTGAGATCTGAAGGCCCTGTGACAATATGGAGAAGCCAGGAGACTGTTTCAGAAATGACCAAAAGGCATAATTTAGGCATGCTGCCCTGAGGTGGCAGAAGGAGAGTTCTGCTGTGCCGTGGTGTTGTCCAGAGGCTGTCCGTGGTCTGCTGCCTTTTCTGTCAGTGCCTTTTTCTTCTTTTCTCCTCTTCAGATCACGACTGTCTTGGGAGAGCAGGCTCTGGCTGGAGCAAGACTGTCCAGCATGTCCAACTGCCTGCCAAAACTGACCACAGTGCTGCTCAGCCACAGGCTCGGGGCTCTGTCTATCCTCACTGTTTCCTTTTTGTTCTTTGCTTCTGTCATGTTCTACTGGAGAACTGGAGAGGACGCTGAGAGCCAGCTCTACAGCTTGCCTACACAAAGCAGGTGTGAACTGGTTTTGCCTTCCCTTCCCCATCCTACTGCCAGTGGGCCCCCTCCTTCCCCAGGGAATGTGTTTTTTGTGGAGACATCGGAGCGAACTGACCCAAGTTACCTGTTCATGTGCTCTGTGGAGTCAGCAGCGAGGACGCACCCTGGGACAAGGGTCGTGGTGCTCATGAAGGGCTTGGCAAACAGGAACGCCTCGTTACCCAAACACTGGGGCTTCTCGTTGCTGAGCTGCTTCCCCAATGTGGAAATCCAGCCCCTGGACTTGACAGAGCTTTTCTCTGGAACACCTCTGGCAAAGTGGTACTTGCAGGCTCAGCAGCGCTGGGAGCCTTATTTCTTACCTGTCCTGTCCGATGCCTGCAGAATTGCCATCATGTGGAAATTTGGTGGCATCTACCTGGACACAGACTTCATTGTGCTTAAGAACTTGAAGAACCTCACCAATGCCCTTGGTATTCAGTCTCAAGATGTGCTGAATGGGGCTTTTCTGTCCTTTAAACCCAAGCATGGGTACATAGAGCTTTGCATGCAGGACTTCGTAGACAATTACAATGGCTGGATCTGGGCGCACCAGGGGCCAGGTCTCCTAACACGTGTGTTTAAGAAGTGGTGCTCCATCAGTAATATCCAGAGCACTATGAGCTGTAAAGGTGTGAGTGCTCTTCCCTCAGAAGCCTTTTATCCCATTCCCTGGCAGGACTGGAAGAAGTTATTTGAAGCCATCAGCCCCTCAGTGCTTCACAAGCTCCTTGAAAACACCTATGCAGTGCATGTATGGAATAAACTGAGCCATGGGACAAGGTTAGAGATCACATCCCAGGCTTTGCTGGCTCAACTCTATTCTCAGTTCTGCCCTGCTACATATGCAAAGGTGAAGAAGGACTCCTGAAGATCAGCCAGGGCCTGCGGTATGACCTGTGGACCTTTGGCTGCAGGGAAGTTCTCCAACCTGAAGGACACTCAGTGCCTTTCACCTTCCACAGAGCAGGTATTCCGTGTGACAGCTCAGTGATTTTGTACCATTTCCAGTATCTGCCTCAGACCCTACGTGCTTCAGATGAACCAGAACCTTATTTTGGACTCTTTTGCACTTCAGTAGCTCTTGGTGCTGCAGAGAAAGGTGAATTTGTTCATCAGTGCCTATCAGTTGCTGGTCTATTGCTGTTATCTCATTGTTCCTCTTGTGTATTATACCTCAAAAGCCTCTCTGTAGTTTCAACAGCTGTAGGAACCCTTGGCTTGTTCTCTGTAATGTTTCTAAGTATGTAAATAAATGCCAGGCTGTGCTATAGGACATGGGTTACTGTAGCTTAGGACCAAATTCCATGAGTGGTAAAGCCTCCTACGGCTGATGAAGTATATGGGGAGTATATGAAAAATTCTTAAAGAAAGGGAAAACATTTTAAATCCCTGCAGGGGTCTGTGTAAAGTCTTTCCTGTTTTCCAAAGGTACTTTATTTCATAGAATCATAGAATCATAGAATAGTTAGGGTTGGAAAGGACCTTAAGATCATCAAGTTCCAACGCCCCTGCCATGGGCAGGGACACCTCACACTAAACCATGCCACCCAATGCTCTGTCTAACCTGGCCTTGAACACTGCCAGGGATTGGAGCATTCACAACTTCCCTGGGCAACCCATTCCAGTGCCTCACCACCCTAACAGTAAAGAATTTCTTCATTATATCTGATTTAAACTTCCCCTGTTTAAGTTTGAACCCATTACCCCTTGTCCTGTCACTACAGTCTCTAGTGAAGAGTCCCTCCCCAGCATCCATACAGACCCCCTTCAGATACTGAAAAGCTGCTATGAGGTCTTCACGCAGCCTTCTCTTCTCCAGGCTGAACAGCCCCAACTTTCTCAGCCTGATTTTTTCCTACTGTTTTACATTCCACAGCAATAGGCCAATTTTTCTGGTCCTCTTCAGGAAAACAGACAGACAAAAGCAGTTTTTACCAGTGTGACTAAAGATCCTTGCTTTGTTGAAAAAATCTTGTGGGATGTGCATATCTAACCAGTCCTTGACACACTGAGGGTGTCAGTATATGCCTTTTTCTGCATTGCTATGGGAAGGAAAAGCATTGCATTCCTTTTCACTTGAATATTGAACACATTGTGGAAAAACAGAGGCAGGCATGTCCACATAAGCAGAAGGACCAGTGACCAGGTCCAGGACTAGGACCAGGTGTCCTCAGTGATCTCATTACTGTCACTGGGGATCTAGTAAATGGATTATGTATGGACATTCATCTAACGCTTATGCAGGTTACACAAGCAGGTAAGTGACTTCAGGCATTGCTGCCTGTAATGGGAACACAAGTGCCTGTACCATGGACTTTTAAAGTTAGGTGAGATAAAGCTGGCTGTGGCTTCTACAAAACCTGGGCAAAGCTGATGCAGTGATAGACCTGCTGTTGATCTGATGGATCTGATGACCATTCTCACAGCTGAAAGCATTTCCTATGTGTCCAAGGCACTGTAATTGTAAAAATGCATTTGAAATTAATGTTGTATTAAATGAGAAGAAAAGAACGTCTGGTTCTGTTTGTGCCAAATCAAAGTTCCTGTCGGAAGGCAACATGTAAGCAATGTGTGATTATTTCTTTTTCAGATATGCAGTAGCTAACAAATAAGAGAAATATGTATCAATTTTAATATGACCTTTCCCTAAATTCCATTATCTGTTTAAAAGTATAGGGTTATCATGCATAAAGGAAGGCTGATGTAAGTTTGATCCAGCTTTTAATATGAGCAGAAATATGTCTCAAGACTTGTCAGACACTGAGCCATGGCACACTGTTGATTAAACACTCCATTGCAGACCAAAAGCAAATGAGTCATCAATTTTTACTCAAAATCAGTTGTATAAAGCAACACCTCAACTTACTCTGCTATTTGGTCCCTATTCCTTTCCCTTCTCCTCTTTCCCTACCCCCCCAAAAAATGTTGCCTGATCACTCTAGGTACTAGTCTTCACTACCAGTGTTGAGGAGTACTGGATATGCTGTTCCAATGTGGTGACCATGGCGGCAAACAACTATCTGTAGCTTGTATTCCTCTATCATCACTGTTTCACGTGTGACCTTTCCTTCAGACAGCAGGAAAATGATGGTGTAAAGGGCAAATTCAAACTCCGGGCTGACACCAATAAAGGTGCTTCCAATTGGCTTGACTGAGCCCTTCCAGCTGAACTGGATGCTCAAAACTTGGTCATCTTTGTCAGGCTGAAAGCACAAATAGAACAATGAATTATTTCCGAAACAGCTGCAGCCAGGCAGATAGAATTTCTGACTCAAGATTTTTGAGAGCATTGTGAGATTCAGTCATCCTTGCTTTGCCAGGGTGTTATAGCTGGAGCACAGCCTTTTCCCTGTCTTCTGGAGAATGTGTGATCATTTATCTCAGTTAAGTTTCAGCAGTGTTGTGATTCTGTAACCACCATTACTACTTTTTAAAATAGGGTTTACAAAACAAAAAAAGAAGCTAGACCTGAGGGCATGCTCATATTTCTTCTTATATACACCTAGGCAAATCAGATTCAAAACACTTGAGCCTATGATGGCATTGTTGTGCCTTGATTCATTGCCACAGCTTTTATCTCCATATCCATTTGTCTTACTTGCAAAGGCACCCTGCTTGTTCTTACCCTGGTTTTGTTCTTCCGAGTGACATATCCCCTGTAATCGATTTGGTTGCGCTTTTCCTGAAGGTAAAATTGCACCCAGTTGTGCAGACCTAATATCTGTTTACCACGCCTCGTTTCTCCAACAAAAACATGTTCAAAACCACAAGAATCAGGGCTGTAATAAACCAAAGAATAAGGTTTATTTATATATAGGTCTCTCGCACTGTTTAAACATTTAAATAATTCAGATGGGCATAGGTGAAAGGTAAGATGTACAAGCTTGGTTAGGCTGATTTATGAGTAGTTTTTTTATCTGTCTGGATTTGTTAGGTTTTCTTTCTTACTTTGCACAAATATTGCAATAAAATCTAGCCACAACGTCTTAATTGGATCATGAAGGTTGCTAGTAAGTGCCACAGATGCATCACTGCTGCTTATCCAGATTTTAGCAGGGCTTCTGGCACTGTCTCCCATAACAGATTCATAGACAAACTGACAAAGTACAGATTAGAAAAGTGGATGATGTGGTAGGCTGAAAGGTGGATGGATGAATGAATATATGTCTGTGGTTGAAGGCCTGTGATTAGGGACATAAAATGCAGCTGGAGGCAATTCACCAGTTGTGTACCCCAAGGGTCAGTACTCCTAGTATCAGTAAGTCTTTAAACACAATCTCTGTGGGAGCAATGAATACCTGAGGCTGTCTTTCAGTCCTTTGTGTAACAGACAGCAGTTTGGCTTATATATTTACCTAAATCAGAGAAGTGGAGAGATTAGCAGGGGCCATATCCATTCAACATACCTGTCTCCTCTTTTCCTGGGGTAGAGCTGGAACCAGATGTCATAGAGCTGATGTTTGAAATCGGCAACGTTTGGCTTTGCTAGGTTTTTTTTAAGCAGATATTCATGAGCTAGCTGAAGGATAGAATACCAGGATATATGCAACAGTTTAGCTTTTAATTCAGTGTTTTTAGTGACTTAAAAATATCTGTGTTACTCACTTTCATTACTTTTGTCGCTAAGATAGCATCAAGAAAACGATTGTTTTCAGCTATTTCTTCTGGAGTCACTACCTCTGCTACACCAGTTGATGTCTCATAGTTGTCCAATAAGGAAATAAAGGCTGCAAAAAAAAAGAGAAACTTTCAGCATGCTCATTCTGATGAATGAAGGCTTAATAGTACCTGTGATCCAGACACTGGAGAGTGCCATAATGGAAAGATGCCACATAATATGCCTTGACAGGCCTTAGAGAACAATGCTGCTTTATTTGTCAAGTTTCATTCTTGGGTACATTGTTAGGTGTAAGCCTGGGGGTGACTACAGGCTAGAACACTGCTGGACTTCTTTTTAAGATAAACAGCTCACTATTGATCTTCTTTATGGAACCAGGTGCTGAAGCAGTAATGACCTTATTTCTGGCCATCAAAATTACAGACAACTTACAAATTTGAACTAAGCTGGTGGGAGGCTTTGTGAGCCTTAGTTCAGGAGAGGAATAATACAGCATAAACCTATACAAGATGGCTTGAGCTTGGGCATGTGGCCACTGAGCAAATGGGTTAATTTTCTCCTTTTCACCCCTTTTGCTCCCTGCCATCACTTCATCTACTCATGCTCATCACACCAAACTGATAGAAAAGTACATGAGGTCAAAAACCTAAGTAATTCCCTGCCAAGTTAGTGAGCTGAAGGAAGTTGGTGTAAGGTTTGCTGAGTACCAGAGCTGCCCTCACTTAAGGACAGGATTGTGTGGCTCAGAGAGGAGTGGGGGGAAACAGAGAAAACCAGTGCTCCCCATTATGCCGGCTGTTTGATTAAAGTAACTCTATCCGGAGAAAAGAAAATCAGGGAAGGAAACATGCATTCATAGACATGCTTGAAGTATAACCTTCCACAGAGATGCAAGCAGTAGCTGTGGACTTTGTGTTATCTGAAAGGGCTAGAAGCTGTGAGCAAAGGAGAAAAGATGACTGACATCTTTATCAATACCCAGAATAACATCAAAGCAATGGTAAGCCTCTCTTCCATTTCACTTTGTAGTGGAAGAACCACAGAGAAATTTAGATCTGGCTAAGGACAAGGATGTTCTGCCTGAGGCTACAGGTAACATCCATGCAAATGTTGTGGGAACTGGAGCACCTCCCGTATGAAGACAAGCTGAGAAAGTTGGGGCTGTTCAGCCTGGAGAAGAGAAGGCTGCGTGGGGACCTCATAGCAGCCTTCCAGTACCTGAAGGGGGCCTATAGGGATGCTGGGGAGGGACTCTTCATTAGGGACTGTAGTGATAGGAAAAGGGGTAATGGGTTAAAACTTACACAGGGGAAGTTTAGATTGGCTATAAGGAGGAAATTCTTTCCTGTAAGGGTGGTGAGGCACCTGGAATGGGTTGCCCAGGGAGGCTGGGAACGCTCCATCCCTGGAAGTATTCAAGACCAGGCTGGACGAAGCCTTGGGTGATATGGTTTAGTGTGAGGTGTCCCTGCCCACGGCAAGGGGGTTGGAACTTGATGATCTTAAAGTTCTTTCCAACCCTAACTATTCTGATTCTATGATTCTAAGTACTTTCAAATTACATAAGGCCTGATCCTCATCACCATCTAAATTAAATAGGATGTTATATATTAGCAAACACTTAAAACCCAACACAGATTCTTCATGTCATTTCC